GACATGATGGTCTGGCTTTGAAAATGCTTCTACGTGTTTATCTGATAAAGCAACAACTCTTTTCCTTATAATAATTTAAAATATCCATTTTTGTCTCAAAGTGACTAAGCATTCAAGTTGCATTTGAAATATTTCATTTTTAAGAGCAAAGGAGGAATAATAAATAGCTTTTTTAATTTTTAAAGAAGGTATTTTGATGGCTTAGGAAATGTCATTATTTAATGTATCCTACTAATATGACTGTAACTGGGGTCCTTGTGACCAGTGACACCAGAGCCATCAGAAAATGTCCACTGAGGGCTGGAGTTAACAGCACTGACTGCTCTTGCAGAAGAACCTGGGTTCCATTCCCAGCACCCACATGGCGGCTATGAACCATCCTTAACTCCAGCTCCAAGGGAATCCAAAACCCTCTTCTAACCTCCACGGCATTGCATGACACAGGTGCACTCACTTACATGCAGGCAATGTACTCATACACAAAAAATAAAAATAATTTTTTTAAAAAAGAAAATGTCTAGTGAGAGAGATGACTTTAGGCCTAGGCCTGTCATGAGTAATTCAGATGCTGCTCAGCCCTGAGATGATGCCAATTTCAAGAAGGGATTGACCCTTTGGCATAAAAGTATTGTACTCTGTTCCCATTCTTCCACAATCATGCTAAAAAATAACAAAACTTTGGCAAGTTTAATACTGACAAATTATCAAAACTGTAAATCAATCAAATTCTGTTAACTTCTCAGACCTACAGTGAGGACAGTGAAATATCACTGCAATTCACAAACAGAAAACATTAATTCAGCTTCTCAAGGCAGACCAAGAGCGGCTGGTTTGTAATCACAAAAGGAAATGTTTTATCCACATGGATATTTTTACAGAGAAGAAAAATTAAGCAAAACAATTGAGATTATATTGTTTGGTGAGATGAATCATGTCAATTTTGCCTTCAATCAAATGTTTCATGTTTTTTTTTTCTTTGTTTTGTTTTGTTTTGTTTCGTGTTTAGACAGGGTCTCACTGTAAAACCATGAACACACCAGGCTGGCCCCAAACTTACAGCTCTCTCTCTCCCTCTCTGACTTAACTAGAATGACTGGAAGTTTACTTCTAGAATATATTATTTGAGACATTATATATGTGAGTATGCGAATGAAATCTATCAAAGCATATAAAAGATACATATTTAATAAAAAAGGGAAAAATCATACCTTTGGTACTTAGCAATCAATTCACATTTGCATTATCAGATGAAATCACTGCACTTTTCTACAAATTTTGCTGCTTTGTTAGTGAAAAAAAATTATTTTCAAAAGTAAAACAATTATTTTAATTTCTTGGACAAGAAGGATTCCAGCATTGGAGAACATTCTTGTATGGATTACTTAATCTCACATGGAATTTAAAATTAGGACCTTCATTAATAAATAAATATTTCCTAGTAAACAAAAAATTTGCTATTCTTTATTGAAGGCAAACTGCTTTTTGCCATGAGACTAATAAATGATACCGACAGACAGATAATACACACACACACACACACACACACACACACACACATGCACACACACACGCACACACACACAGATATGTATATACATGCAGACACACACCAAAGGCAAAAAGGAAGACTATCTGAAAAAGAGAATATAACTTTAGTCTCTGGTTAAAACAGAATTCCTAAGTTGGTTGCAAATTAATTGTTTGAAAATTAGGTTAGTCTGGTGTTATAAACTGGTCCAGCAAGTCCACAAAAGCCTACGGACCCCATAAATTAAATTAAATGAATTTTAGTGCCATGCTCAAGATAAACTTAATTCACATATTTAGAAGTTTTGTTTCTCTTTCCTGAAGAAATCAGTTTTTAGCAATAGGACAAGAAAATCTAGTCCCTAGGCACTAGAAACTAGACAAAGGAAAAAAGTCCAAGTCTTTGAACATACAATGACAGCTGGGTCCTGGGTGAGATGAGCAAGTCAACAAAGAAAAGCACAAAAGACAGCTGAAGCAGTGTCCGATTAAAAAGAGAAGTCATCGAGGAAGTAGGTGGCAAGCGAATTCAGTGAGAACTGCGTAAACATCAGTACGTCATGGTAGTTGGATGCTGTTTCCACTCAACTAGTCCAAAAAACTCAACTTTGCCTTAAAAGTAAAAGTTTGAAAAAGTAACAAAATAGTATCTCAGGTCATTATAAATGTATGTTACCTGTCATAGAAAAATACAGTAGAATTTTTCTGCTCAGTTAATTCTGACCATTATATAAGACTTTGAACAAGAATTTCATCTATAGTATAGTTTAACCTGACTGGTTAAACTGGTTAAAATCTGATGAAGCAGGTTGTAGAGAAAAGTTTCAGATTTAAGCCTATCAGACTGTTAACTAAAAATATTTTGGGTGGACTTCACGCTTTACTGACATGCTCCATATGACAGATTGGTCATATCCAGCATTCTTTTCCCTGGAATGTTGAATGCTTTAGTGTTATTCTAAAATAGTTTCTCTGTACCACAGAACTGCATACACTACTCAGTTTTAGCAGCATATGAGAGGTAATATTGAATGCACAGGACAGGGTAAAGGTAAAAACTTGCATTCTATTATGTTAACAAAAGAGACAATAATTAAAAAGTTAAGACTGACCACTCAACTTCTGTGAGCTGTAAGAACTGGAACTCATCCTTAGTCCATAAGCCTGGCAGGATATCTCAGCCCATGGACTTCATTTTGGCAAAACCTTTCATCTACACCAAAGCACACATAGCAGGTAACCCAGTCTGAACATGCAGTATTTACTTGGACCCTTTAAGAATAGCAATGTAGCAATTATACATGGACTTTGGTATACCTAAGAGCCACAATACATTTCTATAAGATACTTTTATATAATAATATACATTTGAAGAATGTCTTAAGTTTTTTCTTTTTCAAATGTGCTTGAAAAAAAACCAAACAGGTCCAGAAAAGAATTTAAGCATATTTATAAGTAGAAATATTTAAATATTACCAAGTATTGGAAAACATGTTTGCGGTACAGTGGAACCCCCAAAATATACTCTAGGAGACACACAGAGTCGTGTTGGCCAAACAATGGAGAAAAGTCTGCTTCTCTTGACTTCAAAGACCAGGGTGCTTATTAATTCGGTTCCCTTTTCTCAGGGGCTTTCGAGGTCTGTGAGGCCCTGTTGGTGAGGGGCGGGGCCATCTGAACCTTAACAGATTTCCTAGCGACTTCAATGGAATCAGCAGTCATTGATCTAACCCCAACTCCAAGACTGGAACGTCGTAATGATAGTTCCAAGGCAGAAATCTGACGCAGTTCTTTTCGACACAATTTGACAGGCTTGACACCATGAGGCTGTCCCACAGTGTTCACAAGCTGAATTTGGGGTGATGGTTGACCATGAGGTTGTACACATGGATTTTCCTCTGTTTTATCTTCATTGCTTAACAACTGCCCACTGGAAGGTGCTAATGAGCTACAAACTGGAAGTGAGTTTGGGGCATCTTTCCAAAGATTCTGAGACTTTGGTTGGATTTTTAAGCTGCTTGAAGAACTGTCTCCTCTTTCTGATCCATTTAAGTTTGTATTTTCAGTTCTAGATGCCCATTTTAGTTCTTCAGAAAGCACCTCGTCTGGATTCAGGGATCCATCTCCAGCATCATGGTCTAAAAAGAATCTCACAAACAAAAACTTAAGAGATCACTTCTCAAAACCAGATATTTAGATCATAATATCCTAATAAACTACATTATTACCACTAAACATATATGATGTTTTTTAATGATTTCTTTCAGACAGACAGATGTGTGAATATGAATTACTCTTGATTTAGTTTGCAATAACAAAGAATAACAAAAAATCTTAACTCATCAAAGTTGGAAAATCATTTAGTGATTTTTTTGGTACTCTCTAGAAACTCAAGAATACTTTTTGTGTTCCTGACAGCCTTTGCTTGCCTTATCATTGGTAAAATCCAAATCCTGGCCTACTAAAGCCACATCTGGACAACACTGGCTATGTCCTGCATCTTCCAGGCATACTTCAGAGGCTTAGCATTACATATACAAAAATCTGATCTTGGTTGATAGCAAGATTCTGTTACCCACATGTACTCTGGAGTATATTCCACAACTTTCACCATTAAAACAGAGATGAGAGCATACCCCCTCTCAGTAAGCATAGCCCCCAAGAATGAGTGACATAATGAATAAGAGCTAAAAACTTGGAAGTCTTCAAATTATAATATATCAAGTATTAAAAATTTGCTTATATGGGGGGGCTGGTGAGATGGTTCAGTGGTTAAGGAAATTTGTTGCTTTTCTAGAGGACCTGAGTTCAGTTCTCAGCACCCACGTCAGGTGGCTCACAACTTCACAACTGCCTATAACTCCAGCTCCAGGAGATCCAGTGCCCTCTTCTGGCCTCCTAAGGTACTAATACACAGACACACAGACACACACACACACACACAAATCCTTTAAAAGCTTGCTTTTGGGAAATCCATATAGCTAGTAGAACTAATAAAATGACTAATGCCAACTTTAATGTATGCTGACACATGCTTAGTACACTCTTCTAGCCTTATGAAGAAAAATTTAAAAACAGGTTATACACTGGCAGCACACAAGCCATATGTTTTACTTATCTTTTCACTGAACGTGAAGCTCATGGTGGAAGGGAAGAACTGCCTCCTACAAGTTGTCCTCTGACTTCCACACACATGCTATAGTATGCACATAACCAGATGCATGCACACGGGCACGCATGTGCATGCGCACGCACACACACACACACACACACACACGTAACAACAACAATAAAAAGAGTCCAAGTGGGCTTCAGATAGGCCTCACAGTGAACCTATCTCTGTTTTCACGTATGACTTTTAAGAATAAGATGCCTGGTTTCCTTGACCAGACACTGTGACCTGGGCAGCAGAAGTTTTAAGCTTTCTAGTGATTATAATGTACGGCAAACTTTAGGAGCCAACATTTCTGATCAATTTGTGTCTATTCTAGTTCCATGTAAGCTTCTGTATTACTTGTTAGTTCAAGTTTTTTTTGTTTTTGTAAAATATTTTATTATTTTATGTGTATGACTGTATTACCTGCATGCATGCAAGTTCACCTGTATTGTGCAACGCCCACAGAGGTCAGAAGAGGGAGTTGGATCCCCTGGAACTGGAGTTACGGACTGTTGTTAGCTGCCATGTGGGTGCTGGGAACTGAACCTG